GAGAGAGAAAGAGAGAGACATTCAATAAGAGGTGCTAGAATTTCATAAGTAAATCCTTCATTTTTCCACTGTCTTCTCTTGGGGGTGTTGTGTGCTTAGAGACAGAGCGAAAAAGACAGGGGAGAGAAAGAACATGCTAGCACAAGATATATTTATCCAGTGCAGAAATGAAGTAAGGTAACGCTGAAAACCTCCTACAGAAACTGGCTCTTTCTCCTTTCCGATTGTCTGCAAGTAGACAAGCTTTAGGCTTATAAAAAGACTTTAAATCAAGATGGTTGTCTAATATTTGCTAATGCTGGCCCTGCATCAAACAGTCAGGGACAAAGGCGAGCAGCGAGCAGGTGGAAAGCAAAGCAATGTGAAGCTGGTTTCATGCTATTAAACAGATTCTCAAGTGAGACCTTCACACGGAATAATAAAAAATATCGCAGCAGAGCATGTTAGTATTGTCGTTCAATACCCGAGGGAGGTTTTCAGTTGTGGTTAATAATTTCTTTCCTGGTGTCCTCCCTTTGCAGCTGTGAGCGGGGCAGAGGACGTGGCACTCTACGTGGGCATGGTGGCGGTGGCTCTGTGTTTAACCCTGCTTCTCATCGTGGTGGTCTTGGTCTACCGGCGCAAGAAGGAGGGCCTGGATGCCGACGTGGCAGACTCCTCCATCCTCACCACTGGCTTTCAGCCCATGGGCATCAAGCCCAGCAAGCCAGGTGTGTGGGCACCGCGGCCACGCAGGCCTCCCCCCCACAGCAGTAGGACACTGTTCTTTGTTCTACCCTCCTCTGTGCGTCCGTCGGTCTGTCCGTCTGCCCACCGTGACCGTGAAGCACTCATCTACATGTACCACTGATCCTGTGTTTGTTTGTGGTTGTGGAGGTGGTGTGAATGTGTTTACAGTGGTTTGTAGTCCAAGCAAGATGTATTATGTGTGTTTGAATGTGTGTGTGTGTGTGTCTGTGTGTCTGTGGTGCACGAGCTGTTTATTTGCCTGCCTGACACATTATGTTTCGCCACCACCTCATTGTCAGGAAATGTACCCACTCTGTTTACTGCCTCTGTGGAGCCTCTGAGGTTTACCAGCGAGTAATAGAAATACAACTGTCTGAGTTGGATGGAGATGGGGAACTGGGTTGCAGTGCCTGTGATTCACCGTGAAAAAAGCCTTTATACGTTCTGGGTGCTAAGCTGCATCTGAGTTCTGTTTGGAATTGATTGTGTGGTTGCTAAAGAGACAGACAGAGATAGAGAGAAGAGAGAGAGAGAGAGAGAGAAAGAGAGAGGGAAGGGGAATAGACTTTAGGTGGAATTTGTGTTTGTGTATTGTCAAGAGTGTGTGCGTGTGAGTCTTCTGTTTTCTGCACCATGTGTCTCTTCCTGTTTGTTTCAGTTTTCTGTGTGTGTTGCGACAGCTTTAGAGAGTGTGAGGTCTGTCTCTGTGATGTATGAACCAACCCGCCTGCCACTCATGGAGATTCACACATTTGCTTTTGTCTGGGTTTTTTTTTTATTTTAACAGAGAATTCCCATTTGCTCACCATCCAGCCTGATCTAACCACTACCACCACCAGTTACCAAGGCACCCTACGCTCTCGCCATGATGCCACTGGGAAGTTTTCAATGACCAACGGGCCTCTGCTGGACCCGCTTCCCAACGGCTCGCACACTCTGCACAATGGCAAGCTTAATTCGGACCATGCTGAGTTTGTGAGCAGGCTGTCTACTCAGAGCTACTTTAAAACGCTGCCTCGTGATGTAGCCAATACCTCCTATGGGACCTTCAACTTCCTGGGAGGGAGGCTGACAATCCCCAACACAGGTGGGTTTCTTGTTTAGGTTAATATGGATTTCTAAGGGTGCATTCATGCCTGTTGTTCAGTTAAATTGGTTTGGACCAAGAAAAGCAGAAGAAAATTGTTGCTGTTTTGGTCCAGTTCATGTTCTCACAGACTTTTTATTGAAAAAAACTGGATGTAAACGAGATGTAAACATAAAGTCATATGGATGAGCATATCATAGTGGACCCATGTGGGGAATTAAAATGACTGGTTATACAGCTTATTACTGCACCTTATGTGTAGTATGTAAGCGATAATAGATTATAAGCATTATTATTTGAGGCTGCATTTTGCACTCGTGTCATAAACAGGCCCAAAAGAGGCATTTCCTTCTGTAATATTATGGTAATAGTTACCGTTGTGTCACTTGTGTTTCACTTATCTGCAATGCAGAGCCGCTAAAACAGACAGTGTAGGATGCAAGTTCAACATGCTTCTGTTTTAACTCCTTTTCATCCTGACATAGCAGGAAAAAAACATATCAATAATATGTTATGCTACGGCTACCAAATGGTCTTTAAATATGGGATATACATCAATTTTATACAGATTGAGACTTTGCTTTTTGAACAGGTGGATTTAATAGAAGTTTAGCTTTTGAAGACAAGACGACAGTCTTTTACCTGTCCAACCTTGATGTGATATATGAGGTCTCGTAGCACTTTCAACTAACAATGCTCAGTTCTCTTTTTTGCGAGCTCTTTGTGACACCAGAGAAAAAAAACATAAGGTAAATTAAAGAGCAGCATGGATTGGTGTCAGTCCATGTAGCGCTAATGAAGCTGGATGAAAGTCCCCCAGTACTGTTCGATGGATCGATGGATTACCTACCAGTGTAGAAGTCTTTATGTTTTCAGCTCGAGGTCCATTTGTAATAAATGTAGGTGAAAACTAAAGGGCAACGATGTATAATCGGTTTTCTAGGTCAGGGCCAGTTTGCTGCTTCCTACTGTAATTTGTAAATGGAATTTATGAAAAGATGAGAAGGCAATGGTCGAAACGTATATTCCAGAGTTGGACAGTAAAAGCAGAGTAATTTTCATTCAGGTATTGTTTCAGTAGACACAGCATTGTAAGTCTATGTCATGTAAGGACAGGGAGATTTTAGTAATCCTCTGAAGGATGTTCTGTTTTCTGCTATACTTCAAACAAACAAAAGTTCTATCTAAACAATGTAACATCTGCTACTAAATGTAGAAATACGGTGGAAACAAATCAGTTTTTATTTGTATTGCACATTTTAAATATATTGTCATTGCTTTTACATAAAAAAAGAGCATTTACAGAAACTTTATTACACCTGCTTTAATGACACAATGCTTCCGACTGGACATTAACAAGGACAATTTATCAGTAACAGCTGAGTCCCATAAACGTCTCAATGTCTTGTTGAAACCGACCCAGACCGTTCAGCCTTTAAATTTGTGCATGTGGGTTTTCTAATAGGTTTGTACCAGGATAACGCACATAAAAATGTTTGAGCGCTTCATACAAAACAGCTTAGTGCACAGGCTGTATTTCTCTCTGTGATACAAATTAGTTTATAACCGTTATAAGGAACAAACAAGACACCGCAAAATGCATGAGTGGCTTGTTTTAGCTGGGTTAATAAAGTGAGTTCACTCGTTTATCAAACAGTGACTAACACAAAAGCTAAACCATACAAAAAATTATTGGCTTTTACAGTATCTAAAATGCATGAGTAAAATGTTTTGTCAATAACCTACATTACCTACAACCTTATGTGAAGAGTACCATGAAAAGCGCTCTATAAATAAAATGTACCATCATTATGATGATTATTATTATTACTACACTGGACAGTGAATAGTTAAGTTAATGTTCAGTACAGTGATGAGAGGACTAACTATAAAATCCAAATACATTTTATTCTGAAAGATTCCTGGAATAAAACCTAGAACAAATTATTCCAATTAGGCCCCTCGCTTATGACAGAGCTGGTCAATTTGTAGCTGATGTCCACAAGTGTCAGTTGTGTGCTGTGAGAATAGACAGAGGAATAGAGATAGTCCATTAAAGATAAAAGATATAAAAAGCCCAACATCATTAGTCCCCTATTTTGCTTCCCCTCTTCACATTAGCCGAGTACAGAGCTTATATAATTATACTGGAAGACAGTGTTTTCACTTGGCTCATTGTAGGCTGTCCAGATTAGCCGATGACAGCGCCAGTACACCAGGAGAAAAGGTCTTTTTTTTTCCTGTGTTTTTCTTGCCATCACTCTCTCTCTTTTTCTCTGTATTTTTTTCACTGTCTCTCCTCTGCTTTCTTACAGATATTTTATGCATGGATTAACTTGAAGCCATGTAGACTATACCACACATTGGCACCCATCTTTTCATTGGGACACAGGAAAAAAAAACTCAGCATTTGCATGCATTCACTCAGAGGACATATACTGCCACTTAGCACAGTTGCAGAGCGAGCACATGGAAGGTAGAAGAAGGTTTATAGATTCAGACAAGACTGTGAACATTCAGGCACCTTCGCCTTATTCAGACAGATGTATTGATGGTAAACAGACTCCGTTTACAATCCAGAAACTGTTAAGATTGTGTCACATAGTCACTGTTTGTACTACATTTTAAATAGAATTCTAAGTCACAGATTTTTGGCACATATGCCATAACACTCCAACTACCTCAATAGCGCTCTCTATTCTCCAAGGTGCATTCACTCTCCTGGGGAAGTGCAATTTTCCTGGAGTACTCCGCTCCATAGTCTCAATTATCTACTTGGTGGCAGACGGAGGACATTTAAACTTCGATGCAGTATGCGCTTTTGTCTCAGCTAATTGTTGACCGTGGGGATGTGTGCCGCCTCGGCTGCCAGTGCAGAGATTTGCATCTACTGTACCTGACGGAGGCTGCCTCTGACCTTCAGGATAGATTTGTTTTTTGTTTTTGCAGCCATACAGTTTTGTTGAGTGGGCCGGCTTCCTTTGTGAGATGACAAAAGCATTGTTCAGTCAGAACAAATGAGCCTGTCCCCCTCTTCCTTACCCCCCTTTCTCTCTCCCTTTGTTGTTATTTGCATTAGGAATCAGTCTGCTCATTCCTCCCGAGGCCATCCCCAGAGGAAAGATCTATGAGATTTATCTCACTGTTCAGAGGAAGGAAGATTTAAGGTGGGTCTCTTTAACACTGCCTAACTGGCAGTCTTCCCTGGATGCCACTAGCCTGTTTGTATTGATGCTCTACTGTTCCATTAGGAAAGCCTTAAGCGTCTATGCCAGTACTGTGGAGGAGGGATGTAAATAAATAATGTAGCCTTTTACCAGGATGTGCACTATTTAAGTTAAATGAATTGTTTGGAAAACACTGTGTATCCCGCTTGCTACGTTCAGTCTCAGAAGGCACAGTCATTGTAGCGTAGTGTGATAGTGTTACTCAGTCATGACAACTTGGTTTAGCTAGTCAGTGAGTCCAGCAGGCTTTCACTGTTCTCTGTTACAGCTGCTAGATAATTTGCAGAGGTGACAGTATTATATCATACTTACAAGAGACCAGTAAATTCTCACTAATGACTTCATCTCAATTCATCCCCCCCCTCCCTTCTCTCCCTGGTATAGGTTACCCCTGGCTGGCTGCCAGACCCTGCTCAGTCCCGTTGTGAGTTGTGGCCCTCCTGGGGTGGTCCTGAGCCGGCCAGTTATCCTCAGCATGGACCACTGCTCTGACGCATGCCTCGATAACTGGGCCGTCCGCCTCAAGAAGCAGAACTATGAGGGCGCTTGGGAGGTGAGGCAGCACTCTAACTCCGGCACAAATCCTCCGTAGAAAGACAAAGTTGCCACCCAGTGAATTTGTAAAGTCTTACTGAACTCACTGAGAGATTTTCTTTGAAAAAGTACAAAGTTGCTCAGCAGAGACTTGAAACTCGCACTGGAAAGCACTCAATGCTGTATAGCGGAGGTAGTTCTGGCCCAGTACTCATCCACTCCATAGGGTTTAAATTATATTGACCATCAGGTGTTTTCTCATTGGGCTGGAACAAAAGCCTGGAAGTGCTGGCTCTCTCCAGCTCAAGAGTTGCTAGGCAACATGTGTCTCAAAACAGAAATTCTCTAAGCAAATTACTGATCCTCAAAGTACTCTTCTGAGTGCTCCTTGACCATTTTTGACCGCTGCTTCCAATTACAGAGCTCCCTCCCCATTTTTCTATCCATGAAATTTGAAAGTAACCAGAACTGCCAGACTCCAATAGGATTGAGTAGGGAAACTCGTTTGGTGTCTCTACACACACATATACACACACACACACACACACATCCGCAAACAAACGCGGTTTGAGGCAGTATACCCATCTCAACAATCCAGAGAGATTGGAAAGGGGTGCTGGTGGGCTTTGGAGTGTTAGTAGGTCTTCTTTCATGTTCGATATTGTGCATAAATTATTCAGCCTCCCCGTGTGTGGCGGCGGTGGGGTGTCTGTGGGATGGATTGGCCTGTCTGAGGCAGAGGTTAGACCAGCACTTTTAATCATCGGCCGGACCAAATATAGCCCAGCGGCCTGACTGCGTGTCCACCAAAAGAAAAGGAGCCAGGTGGACGAGAGGATGAGAGTGGAAACAACCACAAAGAGAGAGACAAAGAGGGAAATGCAAAGTGGGCAGGCAGGTAATGTAGATGTAGAGAAATGATTAGAAAGAGTGGGAGATTGGAGATACGGCTCAGGAAAGAAGAGAAAGACATTAAGAGATGGTGAAAATGGACATGCAGAAGGAGTAAGAGAAATGAATTGCCTGTAGAGTGAGTGCTCAGTGGTGTAATTGAGCCACCTCACTCTCTGCTCCACTTCGGAGAAATATTAAGATGATGAAAAAGTGAGACTCCATTGTGGTTGCATAGCAAATGAATTGTGTCAATACTAATTCTATTGATGTAGATGGTGTTGAATCGATCCTAGAGGGGCTTGCTGGGCATTTGGCAGGCAGAATGCTCTCTTCAGCTTGATTGGCTAATGAGAAGAGTCAGTCAACTGGCATGATGGGATTTTAGAGAAAATGTTGTCACCTTGGGTCCAATTTGTCCTCATCAAATTAGCCTAGAGAGCAGTGGAATGATCTCATAAAACTATCCCGTACTGTGATGGGATAGGATATTTTCGTAGGTATGTCATCTTTATTAGAGATGCACTTGTGATACAGCACTTCAGCTCCGTAACAAAGAAAAAATGTTTAAACCTTTCTTTCCTTTGTCTTTTTTTTTTCCACAGCAAAATTAAAGTACCAATTATTCTCGTACTGCCTGTTGGCGTTTTTTAACACTTCTCACCGTCAGGCAGTAGTGTTGTTTTGAAGATAAATTGGCAAGTTGTTTTCACCTTTCTTAACAAATCTCATAGGCTGAAGGAAATTCCTGAAATCCCAATAATCCGATATTTACTGCACCTCCACAGTCTTTTCTTTCTCCAAAACCATCTATTCTTGCCAGGAATCTATTCGAGTCTCCTTTCATGTCAATTGAGTACCTCGTTCATGCATTATTAAGTAAATTGATGGTGTTCTATAGGATGTGTCTTTGTATGAGGGAATGTGTGTCTTTATGTCAACATGGAGCAAATGCACTGCAGCGAAAAAGGGAATTTGAAAGAAGAAGTATACCTTTTTCCACTGATTTAAACTGTTACCCCAAATACTTTACCTTACAGTAACAATACCTTAAAGACCTTAAGCTTAACTGTTACTTTGTCACACTGCAGGAGGGACAGAGTTTGGGGCCTTGCAACTGTGCCAAACTAGTTTCCCAACAACCCCTTTACAAACACACACCCACACATACAAACATCAGGTACCCAGGTAAACACATTACCCTTCCCTCCTACATAAATTGGGTGCTTGACCTTCCATTCACACCTTGTTTTTTTTCTCGCCCTCGCCTCCTCCAGGACGTCCTGCTGATGGGGGAGGAGCTGGTGTCGGAGCCCTATTATTGCCAGCTTGAGGCCGAGACGTGCCGGCTTTTCACAGAGCAGCTGGGCACCCTCGCCCTGGTGGGAGAGTCCCTGCACATGGGCGCTGCCAAGCGCCTGAGGCTGGTGCTCTTCTCTGACGCATACTGCTCCACGCTGGAGTACAACATCAGGGTCTACTGTATGGACGACACGCAGGACGTCTTCAAGGTAAATTTTGACAAATGTAGCGCTGCCTGTTATTCTGTTTGGCAGGCAGTTTCTCAGCATGAGATTGCATGGATGGAGCAGTTTCATAGGTAGACTATTATGTATAATAGCATTGTCTGTCATATTGGAAGGTTAGTAGAAATCAGCGCATGTAGGAGTTAGGTGTGGCCATGGTAAATTGAACAATATTGCAGGCCTGATTACACCGTGTGCAATTGAAGTGTGGGTGATTTGTGGAGCTGATGTTCCCTGTGAGTCTATTGAAACAATGCATATGTCCAGGTTAATCATGGTGTGTGTGTGTGTGTGTGTGTGTGTGTGTGGTGTGTGTGTGTTTGTGTGTATGCATACAGAGATGTCTCATTCCTTTCTTGCTGTCAGTGGTTCTGCTTGACTGCTGTGGGCCAAGAAGTTTCCCATCACTTTGTTCAACAGCATATTTCGCTTCTCTCTTTTGCTCTCCACATGGACAGAGTATAATCAAGCACTAATGCCTTCCTCCCTCCCTCGAGGACTGCCTCTGAGTAGCCTGTTAAGATTTCATTTGCATGGTTAATTAGTAAATTAAAAGGAGAGCCTGCCCCAATCTTTTCCCAGCAACCCCTGTGCTGTCTCTTTTTCTCTCCACACCTCTCCTTCTCTCTCCAAGCTGTTCCTTTTTGTCTGACACCACCCACAGCCACAAGTGCCACTTCCCACTCGAGTCCACTTTTGGCGGCTGTAATGGCTGACCTCCTTGAGCAGTGGCTCGCCACCGGCACAATCTATGGATGGCTGTGGGACATAAACAATGGAAGGCAGCGGGGGCTCGGGCTGAAATTAGCACTCTCACATTCAGGGAGCTGAAGATGAGATGGGAACTGTGCACATGCTCTAGCTGTGGGGTGGGAATTTCTGAAAACTCTCCTAGCTTACATCTGTCTTTTGGTGGGTCAATTCTGTCCCTGCTGCTATCTTTCTCAGTTTCTGACAGCTATTGCATTGATAGTGGGCATGCTCAGGGAAGCTGCTGGGTGACATTAAACTGTGTTCAAACGTAGAAATAAATGTAAGATGTAGCATACAGGAGCTGATGCAGCTCTGCAGAGGAAGGGCTTTTTTTGCAGATAGATAACAGCCCTTTTTGTTTACTTGCTATCAAGGCACTTGTAATGATAGGGTTCTCTTTGTATATTCAGATCATCGGGTGACCCAGTGGTGTTTTGCTGCAGTGTAACTGTTGAAATGACCTTGTGTGTCCTTTGCTGGATGCAGGAAGGCTGCTGGTGCACAAAAAACTCTTTCTCACTGTCTCTCCCTCTGGCTAGCTCTTGTTCTGCTCTTCTCCCGCTCTCTTAGCCAGGAAAAGGACATCTGAGCTTGTTGACTCCAGCACTCGTGCTGCCATACTCTGCGGCTCCCTCGACGCCCTTGAGTGCATTAGCTCCCCGTCTCTCACACAACCTGGTCCTGTGGTAAGCCACGGCGTCTCCAGGGTTTTGTAGTTTTTAGTGAGTGATTTAGAATGTGGCCCACACTGTTTAGTAATCTCGACTTCACACTGCTCTTGGTGCCATTATGGAGGAAGCAGTTCATTTAGCAAGTACATTAACCACTTTGAGTGGAGATTAAACTTCCCTGGAGAGGTTCAGCCTAATCACTAATCACTATCTTTAAAATGCACCATTTATGATTAGACTTTCACTATGGCTACCATTAGAGTTAATTGTGGAGTGTAACAGTGGTGGAGTAGCAGTAGGTGGTACAATGAAGTGGCACAGCAGCATTTTTTTTTATGTTTGTGTTGAGGTACAGTACCAGCACATGTGAATTTTATGACAGCATTTGCACCCTGCTAAGGCACTGCACCTCGTTTTTCAGACAAGAAGTCAACTTTTCATCCATTAAACAGGCTGTACTTTTGATGGGAGATGAAAAAAAAAAGAAAAGGCATTTCTCTGCCTTTTCTGTTGTTGTTCAGCGGCAGGAAGAACTGCAGAAACTAAAAGGGATGCTGAGGTTTTCTCTCCAGTCCCCGCACTGGCTGTCAGTCTGCTCTGACAAGCCTCCATCAGCGGGAATGACATGCACAGACACCCACAAACACGTGCACACATGCATGCACGCTACACTTATGCACGCTGTACCATGCAATCTCTTATCTCCCAATTACAGCAGATTAGAACCAATGTTATTGTCTTTGATCATAAGTGTGCGGGGGCTCTGGGGAAACAGTGACATTTCCATCTGATGCTTGCCGTATGTTAGCAGGGCTCTGCCGGGACCAATTAAGTTAATATTTAATGTGTGTCCCACTCTTGATGGGCCCAGCCAAGGCTGGCACAGAAGCAGAGGAGACATGATCGGCGTTTGGTAGCGCCCTCACTGTGCACTCAGTTGTTCCCAGCTAGACCTGTGGGAGAGCATTACTGATGTTCTTCCATCCCACAACTGATTGAAACACCTGCAGTGAACCAGGCCTCTCAGTACAGAGATAGACCTAACACCAACATCTAATTAAACTGGAAGGGTGCCGAAAAAGGTGTCTTTTTAGGAATGGAATATTCTGCAGCTATTTTTTTTTTTTTTTTTTTGAGCTGTGATATTCAGAATCTGTCAGCTTCTGGTATGAAGGACAAAATGCTCAGTATGTTTTCCTCTGAGCATAACCCACGTTTGAGTAGTGGAACAATGACAAAATATCCTGGTGTTTATTGATAAATAAATGTTCTTCCTTTACACCCACATGTCTGTGTTTTGTAAGGCCGTTGTTGTTGTACAGTTAAAAAAAACATGTAGAATGATTTATAAACCACCCACTTTCTGTCACATTTATTTTTTACAGAGTTTCAAGCACAGTTTGTCTGTAGGTTGTTGAGTGCTAGACTTTTTAAAGGGCCAACATAAATACTAACAGTAGATTTTGTGATGAATGAATATCTGTATGGGACTTTTTTGCCATTTGGGATGGGACGCCCCGTCAGGCCCGCATGAGTTCTCAACTATTTGATCGATTCCCACCACATTTTTATACACTAAAAGTCCCCAGAGTTCCCACTGACTTTGGTGATCTCCTGACTTTTCCTCTAATGCCATCATTAGGTCAGACTGTCAATGTCGGGGTGCCCTATAGCTCACCTGGTAGATCTGGTGCCCCATGTACTGAGTCAGCAGCAGCCATGGGTTTGAATCTATTACTGCATGTTGTCCCCTTTCTCTCCCTCTTTCCTGTCAACCTTCAGCTATCCTATCCAATAAAGGCAAAATTCAATAGGTCTAATAATTTGGTTATTAGACATATTAAATACCTGCAAAACAAATTCCCATCCGCCTCATTAGCAAATGTTAGCATGCTAAACTAAGATGATTAACATGGTTTGGTTTGATTAAATTTGTTTGGATTTCTTTTAGCTCATTAGCTTATCTTCCAAGCATCCACATTAAAAACATTAAAGGCATACAAGAAATCATAGAAAGTTTACATATTCCAAGACCATATAATAATATACTAAACATTATAGCTCCTTAACATCAGCATGTTCACGTTGTCATTGTGAGCAGTGAGCATGTGAGCATGTTAGCGTGCTGATGTTAGCATTTTGCTAAAAGCACTGTAGCCTTACAAAACTGCTAACATGGCTGCAGACTCTTTAATCATCATTATAGTCATTTTAAGTGACATTACAACCATAAAATGTTTGGGTTAACTCCCTTTGTACTCCCAGTATTGTATTTCAGACTACAGAAGTTATGCTTTCATCAATATTCATGTAATGAGGCCAATACGTTCAGCTTTTTGTCTCTTGATTGTAAAAATGTATGTTCCAATGTTAAATGGGTGTTTAATTGATGTCTAACTGGTTAAATGGTGGCTCCTGGATTCTTTTGTACGGTGTTTGACCTCAAGCTATTATTCCTATATGCGTTTAAAAGGGCTCATAAACAGTTTATGTGCTCCCTCCATGACGTTTTCTTGCTAGCTCCTGAGCAGCAAGCTACATTTGAGCAGAAACTTTGTGCTTTTATGCATCCAAGGAGAGAAAACCAGCATGTACGGAGCGTTATACAAACAGCTTTTCAGATCCCTCCATCAGAATAGTTACTGGCAAGGAATTCTTGGGGAAAAACAGAAGAGCATAGCCCAGTAATTTCTGGCATTAAGTTAAAGAAGACAGTCAGCTCTATCACTGAGCCCAGCTGAGAAATTGTTTCCATATTATATTTCTGTGTTCCTCTGTGCTGTTTTCTCCCGTCCTGCTCTGTGATTTATCAGGCAGAATGTGCATCTTTTCCCTAGCAAACACAGTCCCCATTTATAACTGAGCAGACAAGTCCCTTCTATTTGTAGTTATTAATCAGAGTTGACTGTAGCGGGCACGGCCACTGGAGCTCAGACTGATAGACTCTCAGTCAGAGAGGAAAAGCCTGTCACATCCTGCTGACAAATACACAGATTTATGGAGCCCACATAGCCAGGCTACTCTCTATAAACAAATGCATTTGCCGGAAAAGAGCAGCTCTGAAAATGGATCGTCGCTATGAATGCACATTTTTAAACACATGAGGACACAACATCGCCAAGAGTGGAGGGGTGATGACATTAATGATGATATTAAAGCCTGTGCATCTCTCCCATGTTTCAGATGACATGTAGTTTGACTAATTAACTGATCAAACGCTAGTTCTAATCCCCATCAGAGCTAGTTAAATCAATCAGTTTATTACACACCAAGCCAGCACAATAGAAGACCACATGTAGTAGCTTGACCTTGCTGTGAGGGAAGTAAAATATTTTAAACTGCAGCTTTGAACCAGTGCGGTTCTTATATAGGCCCCTGCTAATGCCTTGATTTGTTTAGACTGTTTCTTTCCTGCATCCGATGGCTGGCTGTTTTTCTTGCAAGAGGGAGTTTGGTGCAGCCACTAACCTCTTTCTGTCAGCACCAACCCGAAGAGATTAGCTGTATGAGTGTGTCTTGTTTCCCGGCGGAGCCCGGCCCCAGTCCATCACAGTCCCAGCTCTGGTCCAAGCTGAGAGGATGAGGGAATGGGTGAGGAGAGGGGTGGGATGTGAGTGAGGGCGGGAAAGGGGGTTGAAGTCATAGAAAACTGTGGCCATGATTGCGGTAATCCTGTTATCTCTCCTGCTAAAGCTGGCCACTCTAGTGACCTGGAGACATAAATGTTAAGCTGCCTCTGTCTTTCTTCTTTCTTGCTCCTGCTCTTTTCACTCCTCCCTGCTCTATCTCACTCTCTTTAGCCAGCCTCATTGAATGTCAGGGGGTGGTCTTGGCTCTGCCTGACTCTAAATTCACAGTCTTCACACACACCACAGGCTATCTCGAATTCCGTCAGAACAAAAGGGGTTTTTCTCCTGCAGCACTTGAACTTCTCGCCCATCTCATGCATCTTAATGTTTCCACAGTTTGTACAGGGTCAGGGTGCCTAAGAGAAACTGCTGTTCTTATCTTCGCCGAGTGGAAACACAATCTAGCGCAGAGTTGATGATTAATATGTGATTTGATAAACTAATTCAAAACCTTGCATTGTTTTTCCCCAGAAAGAGTAAATAATACGGTCAAATTTAGCTTCTCATCTATTAGCTCGCTCACACTGTCATTTGTTAACAGGATAATGGGGCGTAAAGAGGGCCATTATTCTCTCAGTCCAGAACATATGCTGAAACCCTGCACAAAAAAACGCTCTCTAATACACACACTCACAGGCACTCAGGCACACATAAACAATATACAAGCAAGACAGTGTCATTTGAAAGCGAGGACATGTGCACACTTTAGAGAAGTGTATCCTCCCATGTTGTGTATTTTCCCTCAGTAAGCTCAGCGTCCCTGTCAGGTAGCGGGAGTGCCATGTCCTAGACCCTGTTTGATTGTAATCCTGCCATGTCAGCCTTGAACCTGACAAACTGCTAGACAGGCCGGTTAGTATTCATTCTAGTAGCTACATGTTGATAATAAGATAATTGGCATTCTGCACTCTCTCTCTCGCTAGCAGGCCTATAGATCTGCTACTATAGGTCAAAGACCCGATCAAAGTCCACCAGCTCTAATTTGCAATGCTAATCACCCCCCAACAAATAATTGTGCTTAAGAACTGTGTTAAATGAACCTCTCCGGAAGCCCTCATAATGTGACTTTTTGTCTGCGTAAGAGACATAATAGCGGAGGGCTTTTAATTCTGTGGAGAATGCGCTGCCCCGTTATTAACTCATTAGACCTTGACGCTTTGATTCAGAGCCATTGTCTGACCTTCCTACTCTGAGTAAGTGGGCTGGGTAACATCACAAGGCTCCGGCGTGGCAGTACTGTGAGGAAAATATTCCAGCTATCACATATAATCAGATCATTGTACATCTTTAATGTCCTGTGGCATTTGTGTGTAAGGAATAAACCAGTGTTGATGCAGGAATCGAGATGGATAATCACAGGGGGCATAATATTCGTGTTAACAAGAAGTTAAGCACTAAGCAAACATGGAAATTAGCAATGTGCTAAGCAAACATGGAAATTCAATTCTCGAAAAACACCAAAAAGCAGGTAGAGATTCCAAACAGATAATTAACAGCTTCCTTTCCATTATAATTGGAATCAGTCTAGCCCATTCCTGGGAAAGAGGGCAGAAAATTGAATCAGTGTTGTGCAGATAGAAATTAGTGCCATTCTCCACCTTAATTAGATGTCTTTGCTGAAATCATAGCATGGGCAACCATGCTGGCATGCAGCGCTCAACATATGGCTGCTATCTATACACACATCTCCCTCTTGGAGTCGTTGTCTTTGAGATGTCTCCTAGACTCCGAGGCGCATTCTGGCTGCCGGTTTTCCCTCTGCTGCCATCTTGTTTCCCTCTTCAGACAGATTAAAAGAACATATCTTATTTCTGAGGTCTTTTCTCACTACTAATTTGAGAGGTCTGTTTTTCTCGTTTGGAATATGCTTCTCTGATCGGAGTGCGAGGTAGCACATGTGAATGGCATCCAAAGTATTGGATTCTTAAGGCTCGCTCAGCACAAAGCATGCAGCTCAAAACAAATTGATAGATCAGAGGAAAATGCGGCAGATATTATCATCCCATTCCAGATGGTCATTTGGATGGCAACAAATGGTCCACTGAGCAAGTCCCACAGAGATTAAAATATTAAGCATGCATTTACAAATCTCTCCTGGCACAAAAACAAAAATGAAATTAAGGAGAGTCGCCATGCGAGAACAATGAGTAGTTGACTAATGGCTCGTTCACTTACTTCATCACAGCCCAGGTAGCTAGTAGGCCAGGATAGCTGCAGTATTTGCATGCTAATGTGGTTGCTGGAAGCTGGGCGTGCACACACTGAGGCAGAGGATCAACCTTGTGGTGACATTAAAGCGCTGTGGAGACAAGTCAGTCCAGCCTGCTGCGGCCGCATGCAGCGACACTACCTTCCTGTCCTAAGATTTACTGTACCCCGGGCCTCATGCTTGCGCTGTGTGCGTGTGAGCAAGCAAGTCCCTTTGTGTTTGTGTCTATTTGAGTCAACTTGTTCCCACCATTATCCATGTCTTCTTTTGTGTTTCTTTTTATTTTTCCGTGTGTGTGTGTGTGTGCTGATAAATTCTTGTTCAAACTGTACAGTTTTATGTTTGAGTGGTGCACCATAAAGAGTGTAAACAGGAAACCTACAGTTATTATGTTGTTTTGCACAATTTCACTTACCTCTGTGACTGTGATGGGAAATGTGTTTCCTCTGAGCGCTGACGCCCCCTCTCTCTCTTTCATCAGGAGGTGATGCAGATGGAGCGCCAGCTCGGGGGTCGGCTGATTGACGAGCCTCACGTCCTGCTTTTCAAAGACAGCTACCACAACCTGCGCCTCTCCATCCATGACATGCCCCAGGCACACTGGAGGAGCAAGCTGCTAGCCGGCTACCAGGTGCGTTGGGCGGCCCTGCAGGGCTGCAGGGGCAGGGAGTCACTCCAGATCAGAGAAGAGAGCACGGAGATGTAATAGAAGTGCCTGTCTGAATTTGTCACATTTGTGTATCAGCACTGATAAGCTTTCTAATGTATTTGTTTGTACACTCAACTTAAAATCCATGTTGTTTGGAGTTATTTTAAATTAGCCATCCAGAGAAATTAAAGGAGAATGGTCCACATGTCGGCAAAAGCAATGTTACTGAGTAATCAAAAGTTCCTCTGGAGCAACTTTTTATTGTTAATGAGGGTTCATGGTCCAGTTGTCTCTCTGGAAAGTTGTTTTAATTTTAGTTGGTTCAGAGTTTTAATTAGGTATGTTTTGGTTTGGCTTCAGTTGATCACTTTAAAGATTCACACAAAGGAGTGTTTTTCAGTCTGTTACTGCAGGACTCTTCTGTCCAATAACCTTTCTGTTCTTGGCACTGCTTGCAACTTTAAGTCATTTGTTGGAGTCAAGGGAACCTTTTTAGGCGTATGTGTGCACCTCGGTGCATAGAGCGTGCATGTTTTTGCTCGCTTGTACCTGTGCACGAGGTGTATACGTGTGCATATTGGAGCTGGGTTGTGTGCACCAACCCAGAGCTGCAAGCTGATTGATTATCCTAGCTGCCGCTTTCTCAAAGGGAGCTCAGATGAAATATAGAGCAGTATGTAAATATCTGGAAACTTCTTGGAACCTCTCCACCTCTACAGCACTCCCCACACCTGCGTGGCCCACTGCACTGCAGCCCGGCAACAGAGACATGAGGGGCGTTCAGAGAGGACTAGAAAATGTTGTGGCTGTAACTATGTAAGCACTGAGCACCAGGTCCCCAAAGAGAACTCACAGGCTGTGCCAAGCAAGCAGCGGCAGCAACAATGCACCCAGAACAGAGCTTTATTCCTGTGGACTGTGCCTGTTCATTTGGAAGTGTTATTCCCCTCTCAGCAGTGCGGTCAAAAAAGGCCTTTAGTCTCCCTGGGGCCCTCGTGAAGACTTTTGTGCGTTTCACCCGGCTCCCTCTGTTATCTGTCTGTCTGGGTAACAGTGCCCCCGTTTGGTTGGCAGCATGTACTGCAGCCCCACTTCACTCTCAAGTTCTTGTCAGCTGTTGAACCCAGGGTGAAGTGCGGAGAGAGTGTGCCCTGTTTTTGTTTTTTTTCAGTTACCTCTCTACCTCTCTTGGGATATGTAAATGAAGCATGAATATGGAGCAACAGAGAAAGAGATGTAGAAATTGTCAGACTTGAATAAATTCTACCAAAAACTCCCTGGTAGTTGTTTGCTAGACAGAAGCTAGTGCTATACAGCGGTTGTACTTGAAGCTATTATGCATACATATATATCTCTGTGCCACATGATGCGTTTTAGATACAAAGTAGTGTGTGTGATGTTTCAGCAACATCTGTAGGTCTGTGCGAAGATGCATGTACAGTGCATACTTGCAAAGAGAGGCTGAAAAAGAATGGATGAATAGAAAATGTTTCTCATAGCAGAGATATAAATATGTTGTGTTATCTCTTAAAATACCAAGTTTGATTGCTTCTGTAATCAAATCAGACAGTCAGACAGCTATTAACTCCCTTTAAAATGTCTATATGTCAGTAACAGCACATTACCTCCTTTTAACTTAGCTGAATGTTGTCAGTCTGCCGCCTCAGATATATTTAGCCATCTTCACCCAACGATGACAGCTTATGTGAGTGTAATTAATGATGATCTGGGTATATTCTAGGCAGGCGGTCCTGTTATAGCGTGTTTCAGACATGCAGTTCTGACTGTGCTGCTGCGTTGCCGCTTGTGCGTGCTGCGTGTTTTGTTTTTTCTTCTGCAGGAGATCCCGTTCTACCACATCTGGAATGGTTCCCAGCGGTACCTGCACTGCACGTTCACTCTGGAGCGACTCAGCCTCAGCACCTGTGAGCTCACCTGCCAGCTGTGCGTGTGGCAGGTGGAGGGGGAGGGGCAGAGCTTTAGCCTCGACTTTAACATTGCCAAGGTAACATCCAGTACACCTACTTGTTTAGAGCCAGCAAGTAATTACCATTATTCCGGATTTTCATTAGTCATGTCTTTATGCCGTGCTGAGAATAAGGCTGTGCTGCATGGCTATCATTCCTAACAGGACACCCGAGCTGTGGACTCTGAGTTTCTGTTAATGGACAGTAACGCCACAGCTCTGGCAGGGCCCAGCGCCTTTCAGATCCCGTACCTCATCAGGCAGAAGATCTGCAGCAGCCTGGATGCCCCCTGTCCCAACGGAGCCGACTGGAGAATGCTAGCACAAAGACTTAAACTTGAGAGGTAAATACCATCTGTACAATACCATAATGCCTTATCTGATCACTGATCGCTGGAACAGGCAGCTTACACAAAGGTTCTCAAAGAAATGCAGCAGAGCCTCATTAATCCAAACCCCTTGAGAAATAGAGGTTGCACGGGGAGTATATGTACAAGACTTGAACACCGCCTGTTTAAATGAATGAACATGCAATCACACTGATTGTGAAGGCTCATGCTAATGTCAAGGTTAACATGTAACTATAAAATTATAAGTGGACACAATCAGTGTCCAATTAATTAAGTCCGTCACCGCAGTCAAGTGTTTCCTGAGAGTGTAGGTAAACAAGGTTCTGCCTTAGCAAGCTAATCCCTTATTTGACACAGCTAACATTATAGGATTAATGTGGACTTGATGGATACAGCTATCACTCTTGTAAGAAATAACGACCCCCTTCCTTTCCTCAGGAACAGGTAAGCAGCTTAAAGTCTGCAGCTAAACTTGTACCCGCTACATTCTGCTTAACAGTTGTAATTGGAAAGGTAGCAAGCTAGCTGCCCATCAGCGGCAAAAAAAGATGGAGCAGGTTTGGATATGTGCCGACATCCGAACGGTTACTGTACTCTATCACTGGAGCACCTGTAACAGAGGAGAGCCAGGCATTGATCCCTTATCCTCCAATTTATTTCTACCTCGTAATGAAATCAAATAGGTACACTTAATTTGTCCAATCAACTTTATTTACCCCAATTAATCACAAATTGAATTGATGCACTGCAGGTTTAACTAGCAATGTTTTGCTCAACATAATCAATTCTCATTTAGGAAGGAACAACTGCTCTGTTGTTTGATCTGTCCTTAACAACATGTTTTCCTGAAAAGGCAGTGGCTCCTTGGCATTCTGTCATGCTGCTATTTCTGTGTTTGTTTCTGTGTGTGTAAAGTGTTCAGACCGAGCGGAACGGGACCAATCAATAAAACTTAAAATGCCAAGAACCTTTTATTTGATCTTTCTCTCCTAAGACTGTGCAAACGGCTGTGTCTGAGCCATACAAGATAAGCTCGTGTTTCACACGGCGAGGTGAATAAGCAGGGCTGACACGTCGGATGCTAAGCTCCGTCTTTTTTATCTGAATAATGACACAGAGGTTTGTTCCCAGACAATTTTTTTGACCAACACTTCACTTTGTTGTGCTCTCCCGACGCAGAGGGAAGGCTGTGTGTGCCATAAAATCCAATTGATTTAAAATAGGAGAGTGACACTGTGTTCTTAGTGCTTTGGTACTGCCAAAGCAGCCATGTTTAGAACCATCACAGAATGCTTCACTAGGCAAACAGAAGATACAAGGAAGTAATGGACTCTGTCTGACCTTTCTCAAGGTGAAAAGGACTTGGTGGCGTTTTCAGCTTCCTGTCTCACACCCCTCCCAGCCGGCAAAAAAAAAAAACACTCACAGCACAATCTCCCTTTGTGCCAAGAGTTAAGTTCTCTTTTTTTTAATGTCATGTGTGCTCTACATAACAGTTAAGGCCCCAGACATTTGGAGAACAGAAAAAGGCCATTAAATCAAACAAGCGTCTTCGGGTACCGCGGGGATCAGGTCCCACTCAACATCAAATATACAGCTGGCTGGGGCCACTGCTTTGTTGTCATTGATTGGGTTTGATCGTAAAGGTTCTGCTCCTAAAATGGAAAAGGTCACTTCCGACTTAACTGTGAAAGTCCATATAGGATTTACTATATGGGGAGTTAGGTCCAATTTCAACATCAAATAAAGAGGAATGAGGCTTATGCTGTTAAGCTTCAAATGAAAATTGCTAGAGATTCTGTATTTGATGGCAGTTTCAAGAGCTACACTGTGTTCTTGTACCTTTTATCATTTTTTTACTTAGTGCTCCAACACAGCATATCTTGATGTAGCAATATAACACCATAAAACTTGACATTGACAGAGTTACAAGAAGCAGTAGCACAATAAAATACTGGCTGAAAAGCTTTCCTTAGACTCTGTTGGTGTGGAGCAAATGAGAGTCTGACTGTTTTGATATGTGCACATGGTTTGATTTAATAAAAATGTTATTTTTGTGCTCTCCTCTCCGCAGACACATGAGTTTCTTTGCATCCAAAGCGAGCCCAACCTCTGTGATCCTGGACCTGTGGGAGGCACAACATTTCCACAGTGGCAACATCAACCAGCTGGCCACGGTCATGGCTGACATTGGCAAACAGGAAGCCATGATATTCCTGGTCTCTGATGGCGAGTGCTAACCCAGAACAGGGGGAGAGACTGGTGCAGAGGAAAAGTACAGAACACAACACAAAAAAAAAAAAAAAACAACGGCAGCAGGAATCGAAGAGGAGAGCTCTCCCAATGTCCCTCTTCTTCACTCCAGAAGATAGTAAAGGGTTTATATAGGATTGAGTCCGTTTCCCATCGAACAGAGTAAAAATCTTTAAACTGACCAAATAAGGGAAAAGGAAGTGTTTAGGGGTGTGGGGAAATGTATCCATGAACTCAGTATAGAAAATACCCTTTATTTTCCATCAAAGATCTAAGTTAAATTAGTTCACACCATGGCTCTACTTTAAAGATAACATTAAATTAACTTCATGCCTTTTTTTATAAATAGCCCATTATGGCTAATCTGGAGCAATATGCAAACGTAATGCTATTACTAATGGCCTATATTTCGCAAATTCAATGAATCATTTTTGAACCTAGAAAATGATTAAAAATTAAATAAAAGGGATGTGACAAAAGGTGCCAGTCATTTCAGGTTCAAGAGAACAGGCGACATATGCAACTGGCAGATTTGTTACATGACATTAAAACAGACACTGAGCACATTTTTGACAAGGTCATCAGGGTCTGTAAGCGTCCCCTCCCGTCCCGCCTACTCCCAAACCCTGTCTTATATGTGTCATTATCTGTTTCTTAAAACACACACATAGATGGCTTGTAGCACATCCTGGACTCGCAGGTTTAAAATAGATTGTACGTATGTCAGAGGCCCAAAAACCTGTCTCATCTCGTTTGTGTGTTTTTTAGTCCAACCGGTATCACTACTGTGAATGTAACATCTTGACATCTTGATTCAGCGAGACGCTTCGCAGCTTTCCTGCTTCTAAATCAATATATGTGGGGTTTGGGTTCTTTGAACTTTTTTGAGGGGGGAGTGAGTAATATCTTCACTAAAGTCATATTTCAGAAGCCATTTCTATGGAAACCCTGTGAATTTGATCTGTCCGCGTCTCGCATTACCCCAATCGTTCATCGTGGCTTTTTTTTTTTTTCAAATTCCACAGCTAATAAAGGAGCCATAGGCTTCCAGCTGCATATACGTGAACACTGAATGTCGTCAAAGCTCATTTCTAAAATGACATCTTCCTCCTGATTACATTGATTCTGTAGCAGAGAGGATGTTAAAACATAAAAGCATGGCCAAAAGGGTTATTATCCCATATGAATAATGCAGAGCACTTTCCCACAGAAGATCTGTCAACAAATTCTTCAAAATTCTTCAAAACCAGATTACTCACGTTGAAAGAGTGGCTGTGCAACTTTGTTTTTATAATTCATAGTGGGAATTCTATATTTGCTGTGTGGCAAACAGTATTTCCACATCAGAGAAACGCCTGTCTCTCAGAGAAAGTTAAGAGTGGCTTATACATAATGTCACGCCTCTGCTCACAAAAGATGCTTTGAAAGGATTTTTTTCAGTTTTATTTCCAGCCAGGATGGCAAAAATGATCCAGCAGATTCATGCAACAAATCATAAACTGCAACTACGCACTTGCTTATCATATTTTGCTACTGCATTCATTTACAGAGTTTTTTCCTATTATTAATGGATCTGTCAGGTCAGGCAACATAAAATACACAAAATATCTTTAAAGTGCAGTGGATCAGTAATTATTCTTTGTAAAAGGTGTGAGCAATCCCAAACTAGCCATAGTTCTCTCTCCGTCTGCCTCAGGGTTGCATGTGAAGTTGTCTGTTCAAGTTGTAAAGAGAGCCCCTTTTCATTCAGTCCCTCCCTATTCAAACAGCTAGCACAGCCCATCTTACCAGCTCCTGTGGCTTCAACCTTTAACACTAACTGGAGCCTCTTTTATGATTGTCAGATATTTGGAATGTACATTTATGTTTCCTTGTAGTGGGGGAAAAGTGTGTCTTTCTTTTTTCCCTTTAAGTGTTTAGAAGTTACTTTATATTTGTGTGGCATCTCGGCACCCGTTCAGCCTCTTTCTCATCCTGCAAAACACGCCTCCTCTTGACCAACGCGTTTTTACAAACTCCTGTATTATTTGATGTAGAGATGCCATGAAATCAAATTTAAAATGTTTTTTATCCACTTTAAAAAACCCTTGGATCAAGCCCCATTCAGACAAAACGACGATATCACCTTAAATAAATCTTTTCATGTTGAAATGGATCATCGTCACATGTAATATGTAAATACTTTTTCTATACCAGCCGTGTGCTGTCACTTTGCATAGTGTATATCAGCAGAATTGGTAACCAAAGTTTTATGAATATCATTTGAGGCCACTACATCCTCATATTGTATCCATTAAATATTGTTTAAGCATTGTTTTACTTGCAGCTAGTATAGAATAAGTCAGAGTTGCTGTCTCTTCTAAACTGCGGACAGTCCGGATCATTTCTATATCTCATTTACTCGCTTTTGTCTTTGAGGCAAGTTAATGCTGTTTGTTCAAGCGGTAATATGTGTCAGTTTATTTTATCACTTTGTAAAGAAATGTAAATTATATTTTAATATGAAGCCAAAAAAAGACACTTAACTGGCGCAGCATTTGTCAAGTCTAAACCGTGACGTGTTTGCCTATATACTGTTCTTTGGCGATCTAGCAGTGAAGACTTTTTGCAGTGTTAAGGGTTTAGAGACTGTTTTACAGGAAGTTTCTATACATATTTTGTTCGTCCTTACTCTGCATATGTCTACCTGATTATTTCTCTAACTGTAAGCATTTAAATACAAGGTGGAAATAGTCACTAATGCTTAGTGGATCACTACACTAGGACATCAGTTCTCGGACACTGACGAGCCAGTGTTAACGCAGCATGTTTTCGATGAGCCATGGCAGTTGTACAGTCAGACTGTGTGTGTGAAACTCTATCACCTCTGTCATTGTCTTGGATGTGTTGTCTAAGCACATTTCAGTAATGTAATTCACCAGCCGCCAGGATGTTCAGCATCTATCTTCACATCTCGTCCAACAAATCTAACAAATCTGCAATTACTGTGCGTGTGTGATGAATACAGTTCCCTTCATGATGAGATGTGGGCCTGATAGTGGTGTCTAAGACTTGTGTCAGTAACATAAATGCTTTGTTCAAAGGTTTATAAGTTTACCCCCGAGTTATGGGGGCAGGGGGATTGTTGCATCTCACAACTGTACTTTTTGTGTCACTCATTACTATTCAGTGTCAAGGACGTGTGTGTGTGTGTGCGTGAGTGAATGAGTGAGTGACTGGGTGTGTGCATACCTCCCTGTCACTCTCTGACTGAACTGTTTTCTTTTTGAACTAAGAACAATAGACTTATGTACTTGTGAATGGTTTTTCTATTTAGTTCCTTGATTCAATGTTCCTTGCCTTTCTGCAAGTCAAAAATGCTGTATTTATTACATGCCACAGCGCTTATGCAATTGTATAATCCTTTTGTTTGTTTTTTTGTTTTTTTAACCTTTTGTGTTCCTTATCGTCAATGTAAATTGTTGTCAAAACTTTTGTGGCAATGGAAAAACTTCTGCTAAGGGAGATTTTCTGTACTTTTTTGGACAATGATATGGATTTGTGGGTAGAATTTTGGAAATTCGTTTCTAAGTGCTTTCAAGTATTTACTTGGCCTTATGTATATATATATCTATGACATTTCAGAAAGGTATGTATAGTAATTCAACCTGAAATTGTTGTAAATAAATTATATATTGTTAAATCAAGGACTGGATCTTTTTACTTGATAATTAACTTGTGTTGCTCATCAATTATTTTTTTAAAAAGGACCATACATGTGGAGCTTAATGTTCTAGCTAATGAAAAAGGTCAGCACGTTATATCTCATTGGTGGCTTCTGTACACAAACAAGTGTAAAAATGACATTTGTCAAAATTAAATTTGATTCTGGGGTTAGTTACTTGGAGCAACTATTTCTGTTTTAAAAGAACTGTTTAAAATCCATCCAGTGTCTATGCTGGTTGCCTGGCAACTTTATTCATCTTTATTATTTAATGTGCACTTATGAACCGTCAAAGGCGGAGAGCTCATGTTTGGTCAGACAAACGCCTGAGATATTCCAAGTAAAACAGCGCTAAATACTGTTTTACTGACTCTCTTGGACTTCTGAGACTTTATCTCTAAAACTCTTGTTAATTACTGTACCAAAAACTCAAGTTGAGACTGACACAGCACTTGTTTTTAGGAGTTTGCCTTGACTCAACCAGTTAGGAGCTACTTATAGCCTCAGGATGTTTAATGAATACGGCCCCTGATCTTCTCATTTAGCTAAGTCGACAAAAGAGCAAAGGCGGATACAAAATATTCACTAGCTAGAACAAATTGTCTAACATGACTTACATTTAACATTTGGAATAAAATCATACTTCAGTTTAATTTATTGACTAAAAGGATATTTAAAATGTATTTGTACTTTTAGAACATTGATTCACTAGGGTCTGTTGCAGCTGTTTGCGTAAAGCATTTCTTTTTTTTTTTTTAAGTACTCAGAACAAAACATTAGAAAGTCCATTATCCTGTTGTTGGGGAGCAGGTGTTGGTGAGAGCAAAGACAGCCAAAACAGCAGTCAATAGAAAATCTTACAGATGGGTTCACATCAGAAACACTTCAACCCAGTGATCTCCCCCAGCACGAGGAATTACTGATTAATTTTATTTGAAATGTCCAGCAACTATAAAAACAACACTTACAGGCCCGTTCTGAAGCAATATAAATACATAATAAACAATGGCTTGAAAGTACTCTATGGAACAATCACAACATCATTGGAACATGAGGGACAAACATGTTTTTCTTACATTAAAATGTCCAATAAATGATATTTTCAAAGCTTTGACAAATCTCCTTACCTCAGGAGTGTGAAACATTTAAAAACAATAATAGCGCTGTGTCTGTCACCTACATCTTCGACTATTCCATTTGGGTCAATTAAGGATTATTACATGATCAAAATTACAGTTATTAACTGCAGTGTGCCGGAGCCAAAGTGATAAGTAAAGCCGTTAGTGCTTCTGTGAAGAGGTGCGGGGGTCCAGTCAGGCAGAAATGGGACACCCCCTTTTATGCTTCACTGGACCCCCATTATGTTAATAGGCACTGCAGTAAGAGTCGGTGAGTGGGCTGGGGTCCTGAATGGGGCCACCACTTCCCTACACTTACTACAGGAGCGGTGGCAGATCATTACTGCAATATGTGAGATTATTAAAGGCTAAGTGACTCCTCCAACTTGGAAGATACCGACTTGATCTTACTTCTGACTGAACAAGGAGGAGATTAGAGTGAGTCGTGAGTATTTTTAACTAACAACTATGATTAAATCTAGATGACTGCAGCTGTATTTTTAATGTCCAATGTCCAAAAGTTAGTGATGACATGAAATAATGCCTTGACTACTTCCAGTTATACAACACAGCATTTGGTATTACAGGCAGTAATTTTTGAATGGTCCTAACAGCACAGTAAAGTCAGAGTACGTGAAGCTAACATTAAGCCTCAAATATACAAACAAAGTCTGCAAGATAGAAAAAAGACGGAGTTTTAACTTTAACTAGGTGTGTGGCTGGCAAAGAGGAGATGTAGAGTGTGTACGAGTGTGCCGGAGGGCGGAGTGGGGTAAAGAGGAGGGAGAGAGAGAGAAGCGCTCCTTCCTCTGAAGATGAAGCTCGCTCTCTCACACCGGAGCAAAGGCATGGCCTTTGCACAAGGGCTTATCCTTCTTCGAGTAGAACGTCTTCCCCTCCAGGTTGATTTGGCAGAGCTTTAAAGATGAAAGGAGACAGACAGACAGAGAGAGACAGATTGGGGAAACCAGGGCAGAGTAGATATCAGACCTCAACATTGCCAATGTGAATTTACACAGTTTTCTACTGGCCAGAGCAGGCACATATTATTTACTTGACTGCATTTACTTTCAGTTTTTTTCACAGGGAGATTGAGAGAGTGATAGACTGCAGGTGACAGGGTAAAAGAGAGAGAGACAGAGGGGAAAGCTGCAGGTCCAAAGATGGGGGCAGATTTTTCAGGTGGCATTGTGCTAGGACAGCCAGAAGAGATGGGGCAAAGAGCCCCACAGGGAGCCATATCAATCAAAATGACTTACAGCACAGACGAAGCACGTATCGTGCCAGCTGTAGCCCAAGGCCTCCAGAAACCGATCGCCGGCATCAATCTTAAAGTCACAGCCATGGCATTTGGTGCCAAACATCTTCTCATAGTCTGCATAGAGAAAGGTGATGGAAAGAGAGCTAGTGAGTAGCAGAGATATTTGAGATAGCCATCAGAAAAACATAATGAAATAAATTCAAAAGAGCTTTTATCATCCTCAAGATCAGGTCAAGCATTCTCTATGGCCTCTGCAATCACCATATGTAAACATCACTTAACCTTTATAGGATGTTCTGGAGCACAGAGTGTGAAATAGGTTTCCACCTCTTTCATCTTTTAAGGAACTGGAGGCCTTTCCTCTTAAAGAGGAGTAATATCCCACCACACACACTAACACACACACACAGTTAAGGACTTGAATTACGGCAATAAAGATGGATGAAGCTGTTTTGAAGTCAAATGTTTGCTCTTCTTCTCATTGGACACTTGATACTTCACCGTTTGCTTTATTTTGTCCACCCACTGTACATTAGTGCCTTTCCAAAGTGCGAGGGAGGGATTAGGATGAGGGGAAATTGCTCCAGATACTTAACTGGATTTGCCAGTCTCTTTCATCACAGGGACTCCGGGGAAAGTGTCAGGTTATAATGCTGCTTCTCAAGAGTGAGTGGGTGAGAGCTGCACAATCCCTGAAAGATGCTGAAGCAGCACAATGTTTATCAGAGCTAAAGGCATTATTCAGAGTATGAGTACTCAGGTTCTGGCTTCGCCTCTGATAAAGCAACGGTCCACGTCAGAGCCTCAGCAGTGAGAGAGAAACACACTGCCCCGCTAAATCATTTACAGCATAATAGAAGAGCATACACCATTCATAAAATCCAATAGAGAAATGTATGAAGTAAACTGGAGCTAAATAGATTACAGCAGATGAAAACATCACACTTTATGATTGACTGTGGTACGCAGCAAATGATTCATGATTGTAGGCCTGCACCAAACCCCACAGCAATAATACAACAATGCAATGTTTTACAAATAGCTTGATAAAAAAAATATGAAAATGATTCAAGCAAAACTGGAAAGGGGACGCCCTGCAGTGAGCTTTTTTTTTTCCCCAAAAGAAACAGCTTTGTCATAAAATGCACTCGGCAAGACCTCAGAATCACTCAGTGGTTGCGTTTTTCTGTTATTTGTACCACATCCTCTTATGTACCCTGAGCTGCACTGTACTTATCTATGGCATCCATTTAGAGTAAAGAAATATGACATCTTTCATCAAATAAGCTCAATCACAAAGTTAATGCAGTGTGGCGGGATGTCAGACCCCCCTCTGTTCATGGGGTGCAGTGCAGATTTAGAATAAATGTGCAAGGCTTGATCCATGTATAAAGTTACAGGGGGTCTAACATGCGTTGAGATGTTCTCAGTTGGCACTGGAACTAATCAATCTGCACACTGAGTATTCTGAGTACACTTTTTTTTCTTTTGCCAGTCTTTCATATTTTCTGCAAAAGCATTGCCTTGAAATAC